AAGTATGTACTTATGTATTGCTATTTCTAATACATAGCAATTAAAGAAAGGGATACAGGATGTTATACTTAGCATTACTACATGTATATGTGCAAAAGCAATTTACTACACAAATGTTGTGAAATATACACTAATTAAAAACATCGAAACACATAACTTCTCTTTTATGTTGTTTTATTTTATGAAATATATTAAACGAAACGAATTCTTGGGAAGTTTAGGAATATACTTGTTTGGAATATTCTTAGTGTATGTATACTGAGAGAAGGACGATCCCAACACATTAAGAAGGAGTTTTACTAGATCAACGAAATTGGTAGGCATGTTTATACAGCTGAAAGACGAAATCTGTTCCCATTTCGTGCTAGCCACATAAATGTGGAAGGAGTAGCACCATATGAGCATGAAAATCAAGTTTACTTTAAATCTCGCTGTAAAACTTGAGAGAATTATTTATCATTGAGATTTCACGTAGTGAGTAGATTTAGTGAGTGAGAATGCTTTAAGACGACGAAACCACTAGCAAAAGTCAATTGAGTTTGAACGAGGTCGTCTTTCCCCGATATTGCAGATTGACTTGGAATAATTATATACTGAGCAGGATTGTTGGCAGCAGTGCTCAAACGAAGATACTGTATCAAGAAGACCGGATTCCGGATGACCCTGTGGCACTACTGACAAGGAAGACCACAATGTTTGGAGAATGACTGAGGAACATTGTATTGAGTCTACAACAGAAATTAAAGCTGCAATTGGCAGCACAGTAGCACACCGAACTAATATAAATCGGTTAGTTACGGGACAACTCAGAGTCAGACGGCCTGTAGTACGCATTTTACTGACTCCAAATACTGTGATATGCATCGTCAGTGGAGTAAAGCTAGGGCTCCCACTGGAGAACGGAGTTGAAATCTGTTGCATTTTCTGAAGAAAGCCGGTTCTTCCTTGGAGCCAGTGATGGTTGTGTGCAGATTAGAAGGAAACCTGGTGAGTCCCTGCTGCCAACCTACCTGTGATCTAGACCAGCGGTCGCCAAACTTTTTGTCCTCACGGACCAGTAAATTCGTAATTTAAAACTAATAGAATTTTGTGAATGCTAAATATATTTATAAAAATAATTGTGATTTAAGAACACAATCAATGCATCTTAACTCTCTGACTGGAGCACCAGTCTCTCAGACGGGGATGATTTGCTTTGATGCCTGTAGATATGTTGTGGTGTGATTTTGGAGGTGGGCTGGATTGACGTCTTCAGTTTGACTCTACCCAGTGAGAGGTTCACGTGGTGGTACAAGGCGATTTTTTTTTCGACTCACGATATGTGCGATTTTTCCTACCTATCACCGTCTGTGGCAAGGATATTCCTATAGTTTTTTTCATGCTTGGTATTATTATTTTTAATTACTTTTACATGAATATAAATAATTTTTAATCAGTTTTTATAAAATTACTAGTCACAATTCTAGTGATAAAAATATATTGTTATGCTTGATTTAATCCCACGCATCTTATTTGAGCCATTCTCAATTTCATGAGCCATAAGGACATTTAAAACAGTCCTTAAGGTAATAAAATTCAAAAACATTTACGTACCTATCTGTCTAACGGATGTTTCTCAGTGCAGTAAAAAAATTAATGTTCCAGCCAGAGGGGTAAAACATAACTTAAAGTGATAGGTGAGTATATTCCACGTTTTTCTGGGGACCAGCGAAATTTTCTCGTGGACCACCACTTTTGTGACCTGTGATCTAGACACACTGGATCTACACCTGGGAGCAACTTCTTATAACATCAGGTAACAATATATATATGTGTGTGTATGTGCGTAGTTAAAAATATTATTAAAGCGTATATTTAGTTCATTAATTATAATTACACTCATTGGGCTTTAGTTTTGAGTCGTAATATTTTGAAATACTTTAATTTTTTAAAATAAATATCAGCGATTATCTTTAAATATTCAATGCTAGCAGTTAATAAATCTTTATCGCCATGCAACTTAAAATTCTGTAAAATTTTTGGTTCTATTTAAATATCTAAAGGTATACATATTATTCATCAAGTGGACACATTTAGCTGGAGAATTATGCATTTTGGAACCTTATTAGTGAGATTTACGAGAACATGTGAAGAAAATTCATCACATGTCGATATCATGAATATTAATTTTAATATATTTAATGTATTCATTAATAAACCTTAGATTAGTTATTTCATGAACTGTAAACTAGTTTATGTTAGTTGGTAACTGCATTTCGTTGTTATCACTTCCTTCAAAGTTATTGGTAAGAAAATTCACTTAATCTGTTCCACTATTTTGTTTATTTTAAAGATGAATTTTTATTGGAAGAGAGGTGATAAATATTTAAATAAAATTCGAAACCAGCTTAAATTATTTGGTTTATAACAAACATGCAAGACAGAAAAATATATTGACCGAGTAATAACGTATTAAATAAAATCATCTGAAATTTACATTATTTTACTTTAAGCATTTTAAATTGAAAAATCATTTATTCATAAAATACCACAGATGACTCTCAATTTTAAATTAAAACATATAAAGCAATATTTTTCTGCTGTTTAGTACTGCTATTAGAAGCTGACTCATTCTCTCAAGGAAATCAATTAATATGACCCAAACCTATTTTTTTTACTAATTCCATTAAAAATTTATCGAACAAAACAACGCTTCGCCTCCGCACTTTGAATAATAGCAATACAAAAAAATGCCTTCAATCACTGATTCAAAGGGAGAGAAAGAATCAGGTTGGGGCCATTCGAGTATTTAGGGGCAGGAAGAGAATTCATCTGCATTTCGAATGAGTCACCCAACCTCCCACCTGAATTCTAAAGCGGAATGAATAACAATAATAAAAAAGTAGACAGAAAGAAATCCTTGCACAAGGCAGTGAGGGGCAAAAAGCCATTTTCGGCCAATTATTCTACCGTTTTCAGGGTTGCATCCCTTACTAAAACGAGATGGAAACCTATAGGAAAGGAGAGAGAGAGAGAGAGCAGAATTTGATCAGGTGACAGTTTGAACACCCACCGTCGATATTCCTTTTATTCAGGGAGTTGACTCCAAGTAAGCGTCTTGTTTCTGACACAGAGATGAGATTCCCGGAGGGGTGCAAAAGGGGGTGTTTGATCCTGAAGGTCCATTCGCTTGACAAGAACACCTGTGGGACCAGAGGGAGTTCGCACAGACCCCTAGGGTACGCGCTCCTCACCTGAGATATTATTCTATTTATCAGTACTATCTGGAATTATTTCGATTAGAGTTCCTGGTTAAATTGCTGCCTCACTCGATATCAATTAGCAAGGAGGAAAGTTATCGGATTCGCCTAGATGTGAATAGCGTCTGCTTTGGTTGCTTATTTTTCAGTTTGTTTGGCTGGGAGAGTAAAATTTGTCGAGAATATGCGTATTAATTGACTGTTTGTTCAAATTTCTAAAGAGAGGAGAGAATAATGCTTGGATTAGAATAAGTATCTGATTAAATCAGCCTGTCCTAGTCACCGTTCTTAGTTGAGTATTGGCAAATTTGAATGTGCGTGGTGTGTAAGAAAACAAGGTTGAATTAAATATTGGCATTGGCTTCCTTTGTGAAGTTGTTCTGTAACATATAAATGTGTTCTATTTGTTAATTATTTAATTTGTTTTCAAGAAAAGTTATTATTTCTTAGAAACTGTAGGCTTCGTCCTTCCGTTATAGTTGTAATCTTGCGGAATGATACATCAGATTCGATAGAGGAATACAGGAATTATACAATTTTAATGCAAGATTCTCAGAATACTTTAATGGATAGTATTTCTCGTTTTCAGTTTAGGGGGTAAATTAGACATTCAAACTTTTATATATAGTTAGATTCTTATAACATAGGTTAACTATTACTTTATATATTATTTTATTGCTCAAAAACACTTCAACAAAAAATGATTTTTAATATAAAAAATGTAGGGTGAACCAAAATTCTTGCCATGGTTATAAATATTTATTGTATTCAAATTGTTATAATTAGGCATATGATTTTTCGATATATTGTAAGTATTATTATATGATTTTTTATAAAACCATTTACCTCGGTAAATCTCAACGTGTGCTCTGTTGGTTGCTCAGATAATGTCTAAGTAGTAATTCAGTTCACATCAAGTGTTTCTCTACATGTCTTGCACTTTATAAGCATGCGACTTAAGTAGTTTATGAAGAATTTTTACAAAATCTTTTGCGACTTTTCATACCATCGCTTTACTGATTTACACCCTGAGATTTACTTTCATAACATCTTTGAAATTTACTATTAACATCAATAGGCGATTCCGTTTCGTGAAACCAAATCACATATTGGGATTCCCTTGAATCGGAACCATTTCAGCAAACAAAATTGTCTTTTTTTATAAATTTTCCAACGAGTCACTCTTGAAAAGCATCTGTGTCATATACTGCACAAAAAACTACTAAAACTGACCTATCGAATGGCATAAAAGCTACATTATTATATTAAATGTTTACTTTATAATGGATTCTTATAATCAGGGCAAGAATTTTTTATCACACAATAAAATCAAAGCAAAATCATTGAGTTTTATTTCGATTAATATTTGTTTATATATTTGCACTTCATTTCAACATTTTTTTGATTTTCATAATCATTCAGTTTAAATCAGCTGTTATTTCGAATAAATATCAGAATTAACAAGTAATATAAGAAAATGAAGTCTATTCCTACATAGGTCACCAAAGAAAAATTTTATTTTAGCTCCTTTTTATTAAATAGTTACAATTAATATAAATATGTATATACATATGACAGAATCACAGTATTAAGTGACAAAATAGGAAACGATTTTCCTTGCAATTTTCCATTTTCCTTTCTATATATGGTGTTTGACTATTTTTGTTTGTGTTTGTTACTCTATTTACATATATTAATTAAACTTAATTATTCTAATAAATTAGCATAGTAAAAAAGAAATCACATTCTCAGAAATTCGGCCATACCTGGTGGGATTTGAATCCATGACTTTTGGATTAGAAGCCCAAAACGCTATCCATTGCGCTACAGGAACACAACGAATGATTTTCCTTTCTATATAGGCTGTTGGACTACTATTTTTGTTTGTTACTATTTATTTATTTTTTAATTTAATTAATGAATTAATATTTGAGAAAACTGTATTAAAATCAAGTGTCATCCACTACAAGTTTAAAAAAATGTATTTGAACTTGAATGGATGAATAGAATGTATTTTATAAGCCATTGAAAATTTGAACTATATATATATATAAGATTTGAAAAGGCACCTTTCCTTATATTTCTTGTGTGCACTTAGGTCACTGTTTTATCTGTTTTCTTTATGTTATGCTGTCCGAATGGATCCCTCATCCACAATCATAGAATCGTAATTGAACAATGGTGTGATAATCTATCTACAGACTTTCCAATTGTTTTCATAATAAATTCGGGATAGCCATGAATACGGAATTGAAACTCATAACAAATGTATTAGTCCCAAAGACTCAAGCGAATAATGAACCAATTAAACATTTTGTCCTCCAAGCTTCAATTTCTGTCACTGTTTGAGTCTTTCACATGAATCAGGAGTTCGATGTTAGAATAATAATCCTTAAGTATTTAGGCTCTAGGCTTAGAGAAAACTCTCCGCTGTCAAGATTATTAGTCTGAAGCTCAAACTATAAGACGGAATAAGTAATGCACTTTATTAAATCACTTTGATAGCAGAGTTTCAATAAGCAGTAACATAATTTACTGAACCAGCTCTCTAATTTAATCAAACAATATCTTTCATAAATGCAGATTAAGCTTGCACTTAGTTACTCGTGTGCATTTGACTTTCAAAAATCAGAAAATGTATCCACACAGATATGATTCATAAATTATACAAGTATATAATATAATTTAGTCTTTTTTCAAATTTGTAATCAAAGGCAGAAAATGTTTTATCCAGAAAGTCTAAGCTATTGTCAATATAGGATAATAATTTAATTATAAATAGGTAAATGCTCTATTTATTAAGGAATCATGAACGATTCTTTAGAAACACAGTTTAGTACCATTTTGCGTAGATAGTTGTTATAAACAATTTTACTACTCATTTTTTTTAAAAAAAATTAATTTGTAAAAAATTTTGTTTTTGTTAAAATTTGTTAATTAAAAAATTTCAAAAAAAAAAGGTTAAAAGAGAATCAAAAATTAAATCCCATTTTTGAAAATGTAAGACAGAATTTACCTCAAGCAAATCATAAACATCTATTTCAATACTCCTTTCCACACACATAAAAAAAATAATTGAAAAAAGGGTATTTCTAGTGCAATAGGTATGCGAATTACAATCCAGGCAACAGTAGTCTACCATTACCCTAGGATACGCTTCGATCACACATAAAATCCAATGAAACACCATGAGAAAATCAAGCTGCTGTTATAGCACATATGTAACTTATGCTTAAGGCAGTGGACTATTGACTAGTACTCTTGGTCTGACGGTAGAATCATGGAGTAGAACCTTGCAACTGGCTTTCTATTAGGTATCGACGGATCGGCAAATAAGGGAAAGTAAATGTTTGCTTGATAGAGAAGAGTCATTGACTATAGCACTTGGCCTCGTGTTGATTTCACTGGATTATCGGTGAGTTCTGATACAAAATCGATTTCACAGAAGAGATGAATTCACTTTCATCATTATCATTGATACTAATTATTGTACAAAGATGTTTTTCTTCTTGTAAAAGTAAAATTTAAATTTTAAGTTCTAACGTTAAAGGTTGTTATAACTGTACGTTAATTTTTTATGAATTATGAAATTATGTTATGTATAGTTATTTTCTTAATGCAGTTAGATACGGTGAGCATTATTTTCTAGCGTTTGTTACAATTAAAGAAGTAATATATTCAAGAACATTGTGTGTGTGTGTGAAGTTAACTATTTAAAAATTATTTTAATTTTAAAATATAATCTAATTTCTTATTCTTATGAATAAAAATAAGTTTTAACGTGTGAAATCTGGGTATATATATATATATATATATATATATATATATATATATATATTAAAAATAATAGAATTTAAAATATAATAATATGGATGCTACAGTATTATAAACATTACTGACTTAGGGGGTCATAATTCAGCAATATTTATAATACTGTAACATCCATATTTTTGTATTTTAAATTTTATTATTTTTAATTTCTAATATATCCTTTTTAAAATCTTGCGTCTAGTTTATCCTGCTATTTCGATTTTTTTCAGTTTTGATGATTATTGATTATTCATCTCCATTTTTAGTAGAGAATTTTGTCTCTCTCTCTATCTATCTTTCTCTCTCTCTCTCTCTCTCTATATATATATATATATATATATGTGTGTGTGTGTGTGTGTGTATTCAAAATGCTTATTCTTTCGTAACGCAATTGTTTTACAAAAAGTGAGAGCCAGAAAAGTTTCATCGAGTTTTGTAATTTTATTATTTCCTCTGAAATGTAAGATGTTGGGAACTAAAATTATTAAGATATATTTTTTTAAATGAATTAAGTTGGATAATTGGAATCGGATGGATATTTGGTTGGATAGCTGGCAAAGCATCATTGATACAATTTTTTGTAATATTTTTCTTTTAAAACATTGTCATAAACTAAATCATAATTTTCTTATTATAAATTAAAATATTTCTAAAAATAGATGGATGTAGGTTGCTATTCCAGATTGGCATTTTTATAATGTCGAATTCAAAGGAGTCTATCTAGACAAAAATGTTACATTTTTGCAAATTATTCTTATCTTTTAACTGAAGGTCCAAAAAGTTTACTGACACAATATTGTAATTGGTTTTTAATAAGTTCAAATATTATGGATGAAAATTAAAATTAGGAACATACTCTACTTAATTGTTAAAACTAATTCAATCATCTCTGTTTCTAAATAAATAACATGAGTCGTTAATATATATATATATATATAAATGTAAACTTATTTTGTGTAAGTTAAAAGTTATACATAATTTCAGACAAATAAAATAACGTACAATATTTTAATCTTAAATTTAATATCCAAGAGAACAAATCGAAATTAGTGATTACTGTTGAAAATTTAATAAAAAAGTGTTAAAACACACTAACTTTTCTTGTTCAAACAAAAGTAAAATGTATAATAAGTATTACCAATTTTTGGAACGAGTATTTGCGACTAAAAAAACAAACGGAGTATTAAAATTTCAAATATTATATATAATTAATATTCTTTTAGAAAAAGCGAATAATGCTTTGTTGTTTATTTATGGTGAAGAATCATAAGACTCTGTGATAAACACATAAATCACTAATTCCCAACTATCTTCAGGTATGTTTAAATAGTTTTTAAAATGTGATAAAATTACCATGGGAAACTTATGAGCGATTTGTAGTAAGATTAAATGCCAATTTATGGAAAACTGAAATGTTTAAATCATCGTGTGAATTAGTAATATTTGTCAGTTTATAAAAAATCCTTCACAAAGAAACCACTACTCATATTGGAATCAGACAAGTAGAAGAGTGGCCTACGCAGAAGGAGATGTTTATGTTACTGGTCGATTTACTATGAACAATAAAATTATGAACATGGAAGTTCTGGAAAAATACTGCATTGGAATATGATATAACTCCGACTCAAACGTCTAGACGATTTTATTTCCCGGAAAACAAAATTTAACTGCCCAAATACGTTATTTATTAAGTCACTATTATATATATATATATCCATTTTGTAATTTTTAGTCTCGGTTACTCATATGTCCTTTATTGTGTGATCTTCCTACTGTCTGTGTTTTTCGAATGTGATTGTTGGATGTTATCTCCTTATATATATATATATATATATATTTATATTCAATTTGATTACGTATTTGTTCTGATTGTTGCTATGAAACAAAAAAAAGAAGAGTGAATGGAGTGTGTGTATAGACTATCGTAAATTAATTATAAAAATGCATTAGCCGTGATCAAAGAGGTCTTTAATCAATGTAATCCAGGGAAATTATTTTCAGCCATTGCATTGAAAACTTCCATGTTTAAATACGACAGAATAATAAGAATTCCCTTCATTTGTGACTCATGATCGATGTTATGAATGAAATAAAGTTCGTTTAATCTTTACAATCACCCATGTATTTTCGAAGGATACATTAATGATACATTTCATGTTTTCCTTCAATAGGACATTTTTTAATTCTGCATGGATGATATCAGTATACCCTTTGTTGATGAGGCTGAGTGGTTCAAGCCACCACCCAGAGATTTCGAACTGCATTTGAATATAGTTTAAAATTCACTTTAAATAAAAATGTAAATTTCCAAAAGGAAAGATTAAAGTTTTTGAGATATTATTGAGAAAGTGGGACTGCTAAGAATTTTATTGCTAAGACCTCAGCTATCAACCCAAACCCTAAATTGTTACACAGATAAGTTTTTTTTTTGTCTCACTGGCTACTTTAGAGATATTATTCAATTATTACTAAAATATTTAATGGCTTATTTCGCGAATACACAGTATTTTGCTTAGAATAGGGAAGGCATTCGGTATATGTTTCAGATATAAGACCCTATAATGCATAATTTTTAAAAGATGTGAAGCTTAAGTAAACCATACTGATGCCAGATAGTTTTGTAATGATGCCATTATTTTTTAACAATCCGATGGCAACAAACTTTACCCTTATTGTACAATATGACCAAGAAAACAAATTCCCAAGTTGTAAAACATTCAAGATATGAACTGGAAGTTTGACAGTTATCAAAGCTCTAACCATGTTTAGAAAATATCGAAAAAGTTGAAGTTTAAATTATAAATAAGTGTACAGATTTCAAAAACTGAGTAAGAAATATAATGAACTCCTCAGATTGTTAGGTGGTTCTTTTTTTTTAGAAGAATTCAATAAGGCAATGGCCAGAAAAATTAATGCAACATGTATATTGTTTAAGAAGGATACCTATAATATATTTATATCACATAAAGAAATAACGCTAAAACTTTTCAGCAAAAAGAAAATGATATAGTATAACAGTATATT